CGCAACCATCAGTGGAGGCGAATCACGCACTCTGAGCACTCCCATCACGCTCCTCTGGACTGCCTGTGCTTTATTGCCAAAGAATAGCAAAATTCCTCCCCTGAAATACCAGGTTTTCTATTCCTTTCATTGTTTTTGAAAAATATCCTCCCCATCTCTAGATTTCATCCACGGAAAAAAACCCAAACAACAAAACCCTAAAACAATTCTTCTCCATACAGTAGTTTCATTTTTAAGAGACTTTAATCTTTGAATACTAGATCAAATTGAATATTGTGACTGCTTGGTCATTCACAGTAACCTGTTCACCTCTTGCCACTTACCCTCATCAACCTGACAGTCATACAGATTCTGCAACTAACAGATAAGTCAGAAAACATTCAGAGCACTTGTTCCTTTTGCCCTATTGAAAGGCACCTCCCGGCTGTAAACCCAGCAGGAGGAAGGATGATGCCAGGAGGAAAGCAGAACTGCCTGGCAGGAAAGCTGGGTTTGGTCAGACAGCAGATGGAAGCAGGTTGCATACAGATACACAATCAACGAACAACACAAGGTCTGCCATTTGATCCCAGTTTCTTTCTTAAGATACAAAATCAGATTCACGTTTGAAAAAGGCATAAGGAGAGCATAAGCAAAAACGAGAGCTGGGAAAAACCTCCAGAATTGCAGGAACACCCTTCCTGCAACAGCCAAAAAACTCGGGGAGAGGCAGAGAAGCATTACCACTGAGCAAACATCTTCACACTCACACACAGTCTGGGTTTAGTTTTACATTTTTATGAGTTTAAACACATACCAATTTAGTCGAGCTGACTATGAACCGTTCAATAAAAATCTCCACCAGGAAGGTAGAGAAAAAGAGGGAAAATGGCTAATTTAGACTCGAAAAGCATGGAAAGAGAGGTTCAATAGAGGGGCAAAAGAAAGAATGAACAGAAAACCATGACATAAAAGAGGTAAGTGAAACAGATACCGAGGACAGTTCAGAACAAGATAAACCATGAAAAAGTGGAGTGAAAACTGGAAGGGAAAGATAAGAGAACAAGGAACATTCCATGGCAGATCAGTTGAACGGCAGCTGGCAAATAAATAATTTGTTTAATCTCATCCATATTTGTCAAATAATTTATTTGATTAATACGCGTTGGTCGTCAACCAGCTATAGAGCTGATCAAATATCATGTCATAAATACATTATTAGATTAATACACGTAAAATTCAAATACGTTCAACATTTTTATCTGTTGCTTAATAAGCTCTGGTTTTAAGTTTACAGGTCAAAAATGTTAAAATAGAAAGCTGGTAATAAATTACTATTAGATAAAAATCCTTGGAGCACAATCATTTTGTTTCTCCTAGACTGACAAAAAGTACAGTATATTGTATAACACATCTTGAAAGACAGGAGAGGAGATATTCCTACCTTTTCCCTTTAACACATTCCCACAGCTAACGCCTCTCTACAGGTAGCACTTTTTGTCTTGGATTTTATTTTGTTGAACATTTTCCCAGTATTCAACTTTTCTTCCTCCATAAAGGTTTTCACCCCAAGAAAACCTGGTATTTTCTCCAAGCCTAGCAGGAAGGTAAATTTGGGGTGCACCAGTAGCAGGAGGGGAGGCAGCAGGTGCCATATGCAGCCTAGAAGCAAATGTTTACATTTGTGAGCTTAGCTCTGCTCCTCTTAAAGCAAAGGGAAGTCAGGTGAAAGATGGCTACATGGACAAGGATGTCTCAGGACCTCTGCTCTCACAGGGAATTTTCCCACATTATCAGCCGACTTTTCCAAATCTCCCTAAGAGAACTACGAAAAAATAGGTCAACTGGCAATTTTTCAGCCTTTTTTTTTTTTCCCCTTCTCCCAAGACAACAGCAAGGTCCCCTTGAGAATCCTCAGACCCGGAGTGAAAGCCACCAAGGCAGACCATCTCCATGCATGTGGTGGCAGGTCTGCCAGGGAGCCCTGTGCAGCAGCACCAGATCCAATAAGGAAATCATGGCCATTGCTTTCTAGGCAGACATCAGAGAAGCATGAGAGTACTCCCACTGCTGCTCTACCTTCACCACTGACAGCAGCCAAGAATCAAACTCATCACAGGAAAGAACCACACCAAGGGCAACTCCCTGGGGCCAGAAAAGTGTCCCTCAGGCCATATGTCCTATTTAAATATCACAGCAATATCCCAAACTGAGATAATTATTGCTAATTACAAGATCATTTTTATGTAAACATGAAGAATATTACCATGTATACTTCATCTCTTTTTAATTAAAAGAAATAAGAGGTTCACTGAGATAAAAAATACATGCTGACAGCTCCCACCCAAAAGCAGACTTTTCTGCAGTGATAACACCCATCGGTCTCCAGACCCACCAAGGAGACTGAATAAGGAAATCAATCAGCATCAGCCTCCCCAGTGCTGAAATGAAGCAGTTGGCACAATATTAATCACATAGGGAAAACATTTGACAAGGAAAGGGCCAGACACACAGAGGGGGGACACACACGGATTAAAAGTCACGGCTGTCTTACAAACACTTGCAGAAATCACACAAATCACCAGCTGCAAAATCAAAATACTCTGAAGAATAAACACATTACCAGTTCTGACTCCAGCAACTCTTTAGTTGAGCTCACACCAAACCTCATGTGCTTTCCTCCATTCAAAACCAGTTCCTGCTAGAAGCTGCACAGCCTACCCACACCAACCAGACTGGAGTACATCGTGACACAGTCTCACCAGGAGTCTGTACCCCTTCTGCATCTCAAAGACCAGAGCAAAAAGAGACATGTCACAGGCTAAAAGAGACATGACCATCCAACCTAGGACACTGAAATAGTCAATGGCTTGACTTGCCATGCAATGGCTTAACAAGCCATTCCTGATGCACGGTCCTCCTGTTTCGAGCTGTCCTAAGCATTTCTCCAGCCGCTCCAGAGTTCACCAGTCCACTCTGATTTCTCATTGTCTCTTTTGTCTCCAGACACGCTCCACTGCTTAAGGCAATTTAAAACACAGCCCCAACCAGGATCCATACGGGCCAAGCAAGCTCTCAGATGCCCCTTCACTTGGGTTGAAGGCGTTGCACCCCCAGACCCCGCGACACCCTGGCACGGCAGGCAGGCAACCTCGGAACGCCGCAGAGCCCCGGCAGAGAGCGTCTCTAGGAGGAAGGGAGTGTCACCAGCTCCGCAGAGCCGCATGCTCACAGAACGGGGACCTCGCTCACTTCATCACAGATGCACATAAATACCTGCGCCTCCGCCACCTGCGCGCCCCCCCAGCGCCTCGTCCCTGGCCTGCCGACGCCTGGCACCGCCGTGAACCTGCTCTCTCCCGGGGGGTACCGCAGCCCAGCAGGCACCTACTTGGGCAAAGAGTGGGGAGTCACATGACAGGAGCAGCGTGGAGGATTCAAGGGGGTGAGGGAAGGTGGGTAAAGGAGGCTGCAAACTGGGGGTGCGAGAAAGAGCAGGTGGAGAGGGCTGCAGCTAAGGGATGTGGAGGGGAGCCGGAGGGCAAGAGGGAAAAAGGGAAGGGGGTTGCAGCTTGGGAGGGGGAGGGCAGGAGGAGCGTAAAGGGGATGAAGAGGCTGTGGATCGGTGATAACCCATCACCCTCCTACCTCGGCGGCCTGCCGGGGCTGGGGTCGGCAGGCAGCGCCCAGGCAGCAGAGTCATGGCGCGGCCAGGAGAACAGGTGGGTCCCCGCCACCGCCCACCGGGCTAAGGGTCACTCCTTCCTCACAGCCGCCGCCGGGGCACGGCGGAGGGCACCCGCAGCACGGTGGGGATACAAACTTCCCGGGGTGGGGGAGAACAGCCCCGCTAACAGGTGGCGGCGGCGCTGCCGCCCCGTCCCCGCCGCGCCGGTGGGCGCTGCCCCTCCGCGACGGCGCGTCCCACCCACCCCGAGCCAGCCCCAGCCCCAGCCCCAGCCCGGCGGTCACTCACCGGCTCGTCCACCCCGCCGGGCGGGATGCGCGTCCTGGAGAGCGGGGCGCGGAAGTTTAAAGCCAGGTAACAGTATTATTTGCTTTTTTTCCCTTCCAATGGAGGAAAAACCAAACTAGACGAGGCGCCCCCCCCCCCCCACCCCAGGCGGGCGAATCCCCGCTCCGCTCCTCCCCGCCGGGGGCTTTCAGCCGCGCGTCGGCCCGGCGGCGAGGGGAAGTTTCCACCGCGGTGGTGGAGGCGCCCCCGGCGTGCCGCGCCCGCCCCGCATTGGCACGGGGCGCCGGGGCGCTGTGCCGCCGCCGCCGCCCGGACAATGTGCGTGCGGGGGGAGCGGGAGGGGAGCGGAGCGGGAGCGCGCCCCGCCGGCGGCCGCGGCACACGCCC